TCAGTGGTGGTTGTCTCCTCCCTAGCATCATCCTCCGGCATTTTCCTGGTTTGCATCAGTGTAGCTGGGACCAGAGTCCTAATCAGTGCCAGCCATGGGCCTGGAGAGCAGCGAATATTGATTGGAGAGTGTGTGTGTGTTTGTGTGTGCATGCCATTGTGAGGATGCTGATGTGTGCTGTGCCCAGGCCAACTGGCTCACCAGCTGGAGAGATGGGTGAGAGGGACAGGGAGAGCTGCAGCTCTCCTTGTGTCTGCCTTGCAGGGCAGTGGGAGTGGGGAGGATTTTGGAGAGTGAGGGTAGAGCGACCCTCAAACCATGACCTGCCTCAGGATCCAGGATTCTGTTCAGCATCATCCTCTCCCAGCATGGTTGCAACAAGGCTTCCAGAGGCTGCAGCCCTCCTTGCTTTTCCAGTGGTACAACTGCACAAGTCTCCTTCCTGGCAGGGCCAGCCTGGATCTCCTCCTGAAGCAACTCTAAGGCTTTGTGCCCTTCCCAGATTTGCAAGTGGGTAGGAAAACCCGACCACCCAAGGGGAACAAAGGATTTTGGATGTCATGTCCCACCCCAGGGATATTCCACTCAGGTGTGTCAGAGAAGACAGACTGGGAAGGGCAGCAGGGAGATGATAGCAGCCTAATGGAGACAAATGTTTAGAGTACTGAGGAGAAGGAGCAGGGCTCCCTGTCCCATTTTTTTCCATCAGACCAAGAGGGCCTCTGCAGCCCCCCCAGAGGTCTCCCAGCTGGCATGTGAAGCATTGTGAAGAGGGCAGCACAAAAGATATTCTGATTTTATTGTGACCTGACTTTAAAGCAGCTGCTGCATCTTACAAACCAGGGTTGTAAACAGTGAGCACATCACTTGGGGCCAGCAGCCAGGAAAAGGATGATTACTGTGGGGACTTAATTCATTTGCTCTGTTGCAAGTGTGCATGCTGACTGCAGGGAGGTCAGACCTGTGAGTAGGGGACAGGAGAGCCTGGGTCCTTGTCCTTGCAGAAAGATGCAAATACAGATTTATTAAAGCAATAATAAGGGTCTTTAAATGCTTTTTTTGCACTGGTGGTTCTTTGAGTGAGTTACCCCTGCTCGCTGTCCCGTGGGCAGAGAGGAGGGACACGACACATGGTTTCACATCCTTAGGGAAGGAAGTCAGTCCCTAAATGGCTGAACCATGAACTTGGGTTGCACAAGGCTTCGACCCAAACCCAGAGCTGCTTTGAAGCCAGAGGCAGGGTTTACCAGAAAACCCAAAGAGTTGAAACCCATCCAAACCCCAGACACTTCAATGCACAGAATGTTTCTTGGAAGTTTGTCATAAGAGAACACAGAAGTGGGACTCCAAGCTGTCCTGGCAGTTGTATGGGCTGTGAAATGTCTCAACTGAGCAATGGGAGAGACATTAGAGATTGGTAGAGTGCTAGAAATTACCCCAATATTTGATCATGAGAGAAACATGGCCTGCACTTGGGATAGCTGGGAGGGAAGAAGGATAAAAAGATGGTGGTGGTGACCTCATGGGGTGACTGCAGCCCCTTGGATGGATACCTCAAGGCTTATTCCTGGTTGTCCCTGGAAGTGACATCTTTGTTTCTCCTGTGGTTTGGGGTTTATGGCAGTCCTTCTGCTCTGCAGGATGTCTCCCCTTCAAGTCCCAGCAGGGTCATGCCCCCTCACCCACCTCCTTGCAAAAGGGCTTTCACCCCCCCTCTATGACTGGAGCAAAAGGCTTCTGGCTTAGGAAGGAGGTTGCCATGGAAACAGAAGGCTAGATTATCCTTAAAGAATATTTTGTCTCTTTCTTTTAATTATTTACTAACTGTTTCAAAGAAGCAGAAAACATCTATCCTTCCCAAAGAGGAGGCAGAACACTAAGCCCCAGCAAGAACTTTGTGGTTTTTCCTGGGGATTTCTGCAGTACTTCAGGTTGTGCAGCTTCTCCTGGCGAGAGCTGCCTTCCCCAGCTTTGCCTGCCTGCCTGCACACAAAACCTCTGCCATCACCCACCCACCTCCCAGACAACACCTGAGGACACCTTAGGATTTGCCCAGCATTTATTCAGCCTCTAATACTCCCCACTTCCCACAAGGGACTGTACTACAGGCAATTCCTGCCAGGGTGCTGTCTGCTGTCATTAGCCTGATATTTCTCTCTTTTGTTCATTTGGAGTTTAGGGGTTTTTTGTTTTGTTTTGTTTTGAAAGTTTTTTGTGAGGCCTGTGTAAAGGACTGCACACCTCCAGCCCTCTGTGAAATTCTAATGAGCTGAGCAGGACTTGGTGGGAGGGGAGGAACTGAAAACATTATTGAGCAGGAAAATAATTTTTGAAATAGAAGAAACATAAAGCAGAAAACCTTGAAGCCTTTCAAGGAATTTTGTATTTTTCCCACCAAAATGGCTCTCACATTCAAAATGCTTCCAAAGGGCATCACTCAGGTATTGTGGCCTGGTTGGTCTCTGGTGACTGAATCCTCAAGACCCCAGGCCAGCTGTCCACCTGATGAGGCACTGAAGATGGGTCCCAGGCAGTGAGGTGCCTGCAGGAAATATGCCCTGCACACCCACTGTACAATGAGAGCAAAAGTTGTCCTAACACTGGATCAGAAACAGAGATTTATTTTTAGCCAATGTAACTAAAAACTCAACATTTATTATGGAAGATATGGAGGTAAGTGGCTTGGATTCACTTGGGTTCATCACAAGAATTTCACAGAGGAGGAAAAATTAAACCCTCTGGATTTTTTAACTAGCTGTGATACAAAACACAGTGAACCTCATAGGAAGAGCTTGGTACCTTGCAAAGTCAGGCACCTGGATGTCTGCCACCCATTTCAGTTTATCTATATGTGACCTGACTTTCCAAGTGCCTCCCTTCCCTGCTCTTCACAAATACTTGATGAGATCTGCCTTGCTTCTCCTTTTTTGCATGTTGTTTTTGTTCCTTGCTGGGAACTGGTTTCCAGTAGGAACTCACTATCTCCATATCTTCGAGTTATCACTCATTTCTTCCACCTCATTTAGATATATATATATTTCTTCTCTAGAACTTTTTCCTTCTTCTGCATATTTCCAAGCCCTGTTTACATTTCCTGAGATCCTGCCACACAGGAGCTAGAGCTGGCAATCTGCTATCCAATATTTATGCCTCCCAGCCACTTCTAGAGCAGATGTGCTCAGTTTGCAGGGAAGGAGCTCTCCCCCCCACCAAAACCAGCATCCCAGACGCTGGTTTGCAGCACACCTCTGCTTTTCCTCCAGCATCAGCTGCAGCAATAAGCACTTACAATCTGCCCTTCCCCTCATGCCAGCGATGGGGTTGTGAAGATGAGCTGTCCGCAGGGTTCATTCTCAGCCTTGCTTTGCATTTCAGCAGCACTGCTGAGCATCTTTCATGCCCATGGCATCAGTAAGTGCAGGGAGGACTCCACACCTCCTGCAGTTGCTCCCATGAGCAGCTGGGCTGTTGCCATGAAAAGCACAGCAGGCTCCAGCTCACACTCCCCCTTTGCTGTGCAGTGCTGTGGACACAGAAGAATACAAATCTTTTTCCTTAGTGGTTTTGTCTGTAGTCACCAAAGTCGACAGATACGACTCTCCCTTTGTCTCACGGTCCACAGAGCAGAATGATAGCAGAGGGAGAGGTACTGTTTTTCCAAGGACATTTTCAGAGACCAGGGCACTTTAACCTTCTGTCTAATGCTGCTTTAACTACCTGCATTATTTTGGAGAACTCTGAAAGATGCTGCAGCTGTGTTTTGTTATTTTGTTCTGTTCTGCTTCTGGTTGCTGGGGCAGTGTCAGTGCACCTAGTGCACAACGCAAATGAAGCAGCTCTTCCTGCAGGCCTTCCCCTTTCTTTCCTCCAGCTGACTCGTCCTGGATGAAATTTTTGAACTGTAAGTTGCCTACTTGTGCTGACCACACTGAGGTAGGATTTTTCATAGTTCTGCTGCCAAAACTTTCTTTCTGTTCTTCTATTTCTTATGCTGCTAAGGGATAGCACTGTTCCTTCACAAAGTCTGGCAGAGTATCTTCAAAAAGCAGCCACCCAGCACAAGCAGGCAGGGCAGCCACTCTTCCTTCACTCAGAAACTCTCAGAGAGGCTAAGATGCTGCTTCAAAACAAATGATCAGTGATACCATGGGCTCTGTGGATGCCAATCTGAGGAGAAACTATATTTTAGATAAATGTCTTTAATCCAAGATTTGCTCTTAAATTGAAAAGTGCCTGTCTAGAAGAAAGCCACCCACACACAAGGAGGAGAAGCGTCATGCAAGAACTCAAGGTACGTGGTCCATGCACTGGCAAACATTTTCATTACCCCGCAAGTCCTTGGTCTAAGACTTGCTTTTGAGCTATCACAGCTTTGGAGATAAAGCACCAGGTGGATAAAGCACCACCTTTCCTCTAAAACTACCACTGTCATCCTCAGCTGCATCTAACAATTGCTGGGATAACAATGAAAGTGGGTGATCCCATTTCTCCTTTCAGTTACTTCACCAACACAGTGAATTTATTTTTTCACTTACACACTTCTTTTCTCTCCTCCTTATCTGAATCACATGAAGGGTTCATTTCAAGATGATCCACACACATATTCTAGTTAATAATAGATATTTCTAAGAAGAAGAGCTGAGTGCAGTGTAAATGGGGTGGTATCGATAAAAGATCTGCTTTTGTGTGTATAATCCCTCTACATACATACAACTACCCCATCCTCCCTGTACACTAATATTTTTTGGTAATTTCTTTGAAATTACCTTACCCTGAATGTAGAGTTAATAACATGTGAGACTGTTAATCATCATTGGCCACTGATTAGTTTCTGCTGTTATTGTAAGCCCAGGCATAAGAAATAAATCAGGAAGGTAAAAAAAAAAAAAAAAAAAAAAGCAGCCAACAACAAACAACATGGCATTGAATAAAAAAAAACCAGAGAGACTATTCTGAAAATCCCTTGGTGTCTGCTCAATATTTATTCATATGCTTCCATAGTCACTGCTGCTTTGTGTATGTGCGTGGGCGCAGGCATATACTTGTTTCAGGGTGGTTGTGGCTCATAAACAGATCTCCCACTGGTCTCTTTTTTCAAGGATATATTAAAGCAGCCCAAACTGCTGACTCGGGACACTGCTCACCAGCAGAGCCCACAGCTCTCAGACAGGCAATGTCTGGGCAGCACTGTCTGTAACGAGTGGCAAAGGTCTCTGCACTCTCCAGGGCAGTGAGCCCCATCCAGCCATGTACCCTGGGCCTGGGACAAGGGGCAGCCTCAAAGCGTGGCAGCCCGAGGGGCTGGGCACAGCTGGGCTGCAGCCTGTGCCAGTCCCACCTGCCTCTGTGGGCAGGGGAAAGAGGGCACTGGGGTGGCAGGGAGCTGAGCTGATGATGGCGTGGGGCACGAGGGGACCTGGGGCTGTGGGAGCCCCCACGTGCGTGTTTGTGTGTGTGCACTTGCACTGTTGGGCACCAGCAGGACTCTCCTCATGCCGTGTAAATTTTTACTCCATCTGCTAATCAGAGCTGAAACTCTGGCACTTCAGCATCATCCATTTGCTCAGGAACACAAAGAGGTCACAGATCCATGTCAAAACATGTTGAAATACTCTCCCTTTTTGGCAAGGATTTTCAGGCACCTACATTGGGAGGCCAGGGAAACAGCAGTCCTCCCTGCAGTAGAAACCACCAGCGTGCACAGCCCTGGCTGGGGTGGGAAAGCATGGCAGTCACCCTTGCACTGCTCACAGATTTGGAAGGTTAGTTATTGTCTACCAGATGATGGCTCCATCCCAGCCTGACTGGCAAAAAAACAGCCTTTCCTTTTAGGCTTCTGTGGACACAGCATTTTAATGTTTATTTGTGTCCAACCAGCCTAGGTAATAAAGAGGTGAGAGGGCCTGAGGGGAATTTGCATAAATGATGGAGAGATCTAAGGGTCTGGAGAAGAAGATCTGACTCCTGGCTTCCTATGGATGATTGACCTTGAGGGACAGGACACACCAGGGGTGCAGGTTTCTTCCCTCCAGCCTCACTCCCACTTGCTGCTGCATTCTTCTGCTCTGTAAATACCACAGGAATCAATGCAGCAGCTAATGTGGCATTTTGACATCTGAGGGAGGATTATTTCACCAGGAGTTTATAAACCTGCTTCATCAAAAGCTCAGAGTCAGCAAGCAGATGCCACATTGCAGCCCCTGCCTGTCTCCTGGTGGCAGCCCCAGAGGGACAGGCCCCACGTGCATGGAAAGCAGTGGGGCTGTTTCAGCACTGGATGAGCCCAAGCATGCAGGTAGGGAAGGAAAGAGGCAGCCTGGCTGGTTGTGTTGTTTGCTTTGCACTGGTAATAATGCAGTGGTATCATTTTCATGCTAAATGCTAATTTTCTGCTTTGCTGGCCTCAGAATAGGCTACATTCATATCCTTCATTGCAGCAATTAAAGGGCTGGGTGCTCAAGCTGAGGCACTTGTGATGAGCATGATTTTAATCAGTGTGCATGAGAGAGAAGGAGGAATGTAATTGCCTTGCTGCTGCTGTGGGAACATGTGACAGCCCATGAGGGGTAGGTAGGAGAGCCCCTACCCTGTTATGAGCATGTATCAGTTTCAGCTCAGCACTGGATAGGGAAGAGCAGGTTTGCCACACCTTCCATTTCTCTGTCTGGTCAGGAATTGCTGTTTGACTTCAGCAAAACATTGGAACAAATCCCCTGCTCCCCTGGCTCATGTTTATAGCCCGTGATGCCGCCCTCCAAGGTGCTGTGCACATGGCACAGAGATCCCCAGCTGCTGTGAGACAGGCTGAGCATCACTTGCCTGTCCCCTCCAGTGGGAAGGCAGGGCAGGAGGAGAGGGCCACACACACGTGCAAGATTTCCAGGTGTGCCTGTAGGCAAAGGATGGAATTCCATAGGTCCCTGCTGCGAGACTGCATCTGAGGCTGCTCTGCTTGGCTGGGCAGGAGAGTCCATTTGTGAGTGCCAGGAACAGTATTAGATGAAAGTACTTAAGCATTTACACTGTTTGCCTAAATCATAAAGCTCATCCTGCTGGATTTGCTCACACATCCCCTCTGCCTCTTCAGGCTGGAATGTCCCTCCAAAGGGGAACAGGGACTATGTCCCTTGAATCCTCACTGCTTTGCTTTTCCTCAGTGTGGCTCAGTGACCATGTTTGCAGGGAGGGGACCACCCTGCTGGGTTTCCCAGCAGAGCTGTACCTCTCCCTGCTGCTGCCACAGCACTTTGGAGTCATAGCAGGTAACATGGGTAAAAAACCCTGAGAGGGGGAGTGGGGAGGGACACTGGGCTTGGTTTCCCATGTCAAGGGATTTGTATGTGCAGGGATATCTGCAGGAAAGGAACATCTCAGGAGAGACCAAACTTGTATCAAAACTGCAGGAGCCACTGGAAGGGGAATAACAATATTTCTGGGACTACATCTACAAGCTTATCTCTACAAGCTTCCTAAGTCATATTTCAGCTCCTCCTTGAATGTATCACAATTCCTTCGTACATGGGCAGGGACACCTTCCACTTAGACCAGGTTGCTCAAAGCCCTGTCCAATCTGGCCTTGAATAATTCCAGGGATGGAGCAAGTCCCTGTCTGTGTCATTTCCCCATCCCAGGGCCTACCTACTATTTTTGGCACCCAGAGGTGATAATTGCAGACAACATGAAAATCAGAGGAGTGGCTGGTTTTGTTCTCTTCCCTAGTTCAGAGAAGATCTTGAATCTTTTCTCTGGATTAGCAACCATATTTCAATGCCTGTCCTGCTCTCACAGGTAAACTTTATCACATACATTTGAACACCTACCCTGTTTTTCTGGAGGTTTTAACACTGCCGCTGCCCTCTGGTCAGGCAGAAGGCTGGGTACCCTTTGCAGTCAGTGGCAATCATGAGCAAACAGCCCCCACATCCCTACAGCACAGCTTCACAGAGAGGAGGTGGATTCTTTCCTCCACTGAGCTCACAGCTCATGGCCAGCAGAACCCTCTGCCAGGCCCCATCTGACCTCTCTAAAAAGCTCCTCTTCTGTCTAGGCTGGCACTCAAGAAGGGAGGACAGATGCAGTAGGCACAAGTGTGTCAAAGGTGTTTGTTCATTGCATTAAAAAAAATCTGGTTTTGACCAGCAGCATCTGCAGCAAGCTGCTGTTTCTCTTTTCATCTTGGATAGATGGGCTTCCAGGGCTCAGGTACCTCCAGGACAGGGGCAGGACGTGCTCACAGTGTGGAGGGAAGAGGCCACATTTGGACCTGCTGCACAACCCAAAAGTCCATGTCAGGGAGGGCTCACTACAGCACAGGGAAGAACAAGCAAGACCCTGGCTTGGACAGATAGGCAGTGAGTTCCCTCTCCCTCCTGCAGAAGCTTGGGTGACAAGGGAGGTTTCCCCCTCCCACTGACTGAAGTTTGAGCTGTGTATTCATGATAACACAAGGAGGAGAGGAACGAGAGATTGACAGCCACGAGAGATTTTTGTTGCTGTTTAGGATAGACCTCTCTCCATCTCTTCTTCTGTCTTTCCATTTATTCTGCACCTCCCCCTTTTTCCTTCTTCCAAACCCTTTCCTCCAGGTCAGCCCCCCTCTTCCCTTTGTCCTCGTTCTCCTTGCCTTTTCAGTAAGTGAGGAATTAAATAAGCCTCTATGGAGACAAAACCAAATAGTAGATTCCCCCTTGCCTCCCTGGCTAGGATGTTGATGAAGTTAGTGAAGAGACATCTCCTTAGGATGCTGCTTTTATTATTTAGTCCAGCATGCACCAGGTCAGGACTTTGGGAGCATCCTTAGGGCTACATGCAGGTTTGCAATAAAAGAGCTCACTGTCAAGTCCCAGAGCAGCCACATCCCCAGGCACCTGTCACCTGAAGGGACAATAACCACCCCCAGGCACTGCCCCACATCCACAAGGCACAATCTTGCATCTCCAGGCACAATTCTGCATCCCCAGGCACAATCCTGCATCTTCAGGCATTGCCTGGCATCCCCAGGCCCTGCCCTGCACCCCCAGGCACTGCCCCACACACAGAAGGGTGGGCTCTGAGCAGCACCAGGGGCTCCACATCACTCAGACAAGGCCCACCTGGAAACAGTAATGAAGAGAGGAGGGGCTAAGGTACCAGCCTCAGGTGTTTGGGTTTAGTAAGTAATGAAGGAACCTGAGGAGCAACTTAAAGAAGGAAAGATGCAGAGGAGGGGTTTCTCTGCCTTGCAGGGTGCTTGGCTGGGGCCATCCCTTGGTGCTGCTATCATGTATCTGTGCCATCAGAGTAAATAAGCCTCCTCTTATGAATGCTGACCTCGAGCTGTGTAGTAAATTCTGGTGCCAGCCAAACCTGTGTTGGGTCTCTTGCAGCAGTGTGATCTTCTCACTATGGTGCTGCTCTATTGCTTTCACCACAAGCACCAAAGGCTCTTAGATGCTTTCCTTTGGGACTCAATTCCAGGTACAGTACAGTATCTGGTCAATTGTTTTTCATTGCTTGCTCTCACTCCTCACATTTCAAAAGCAGCAAAGTTTGCTGTTATGTGTTTTGCCATGTTTTTACTTCAGAGCAGACTTAATCTTCATGTTTTCCTTTCTCTGTTAATCTGAGGATTAAGGAAAAGCTGTGAAAGTATGATTTGAGCTTTTAGAAATATTCTCTACTTTAAAATTAAAAAAAGAAAAAGAAATTAACCTGCAATGAGCAACCCTTTTTATTTAGAACTGAATTAATGAACTCCCACTGAAGATGGGCATGTTGGGCATTAATATATGTATAATTATGCAAAACCACTGTTATGCCTCTAATGAAAATTAGATTCTACCACTGAGGCTGTGTTTGGCGATAGTGTATATCTTCATTTGTGCTATATTTATTCTTTTTCCTAGCTGCATGACCTAGGATTACAGTTGCTATGGCGATAAGACAGTTTGTGAAGGAAGGAGTGAAAGGTAAGTTTGTGTGTCTGCCTGTGCTGGGGGGGGGGGGCCTGGCAATCTCTGTCCCCTGTGCTGTGTCTGCCTCCTGCTACTGCAGGCACTGAAGGGTTCTGTTACACAAGTGATGGTCATTTCTCAGTAACTCAGGGGTGGGTGTTCAAGCAGCAGAGCAAATCAAGTTGGTTTTTCCCTTCCCAGCAGTGTGTGTGCATAACCAGGCCATGGGTCTGCTGTGCTGGGACTGTTTTAGTGGGGTGGGGGAGCTGATCCTTTTTTGCTGCTGGCCTTGGAGGGGTTTAGAGGTGGATTCTGGGGCTACTGGGGACCAAAGTAAAACCCTTGAACTGCACGTCTGTGTTTGTTGTGCTGCATTTGTGATCTTCTGTGCCCTGGGCTTGGGGCTGGAAGTGCTGAGCAGATTTAAGAGATGTGTAGCTGGGGTGAATTTGGCAGAGCTAGGTAAACAGCTGACCTTGATGATTTTAAAGATCGTTTCCAACATAAGTGACTCTTTGGTTCTATGAGTGACAGCTTTGTCTCACTTCGGCTGAGTTATATTACCAGGCCTCCTCCTGGGGTTTGCTTTGTGGTGCTTGCAGCAGGAGATGCAGTGTTCCCCAAACCTTCCCAGAGCCAGTGCCACCTCCAGACCTGGACAACAGGCTCAGGAGTTCCTTCAGTAAGCAGTTGATATTGGAGGAGAGTCTGTCCTTGGTGCAGCTTTCTTTGTCGACCAGGAACACACTTCCCTGAGCACAGCTGCCCAAACCTCTGTGTCTCTCTCAGCCTTAGCTTGCCCTGTATGTGTGGGACAGGCTTCCCTGGCTTCCTGTCTGCCTCTCCCATCCTGTTTTCTCTGTCTTCCTCTGCACCCCTCCATCAAAATTGCCATCACCCTTTGCTTTCAGCACCTGGAATGGAATTCTTACCATGCGAACTCAGGCTGGCCAGCCTTCATGATTGCAAGACTGATTCGGGCAGACTTTTTTTGCCTTGCAATTGTCTATTTCAAAATAGCTGGACAGCTTCTTTTTGTCTTTTTTCCTGAAGGAGCAATGGCTGCTATCACCAGCAACTTGAGAACTTTTCACTTGATCCTCCCAGAAGCAGTGCCTTAGACACTCTTTGCTGCTCGGCGTAGTGTTCTTCTCTCAGAATCATTGTGAATTAGCATATTAAGGGCTAGTGAGTAAGTCTCAAGCTCCCATCAATTGGTTTCTGTAGCCTTGACTATCTCCTTGGACTTGCTAAACTTTTAATTAGGTATAGATTTTTCCCCAGAGGTCTTATAACTTGTTTAACAAAAGACTAAAATGTTTTAAAAGAGTCTCTCCTCTCCTGCCCTGCCGTGCTTTGCATTTTTCACCGAGTAAACTCTGCCTGTTTGCAAATTATCAACAGTGCAACCCCCTTAATGCAGGCAGACAGTGCTCTCTCACTCTCTTGGACAGGGGTAAGGAAAATGAGCTGTCTGACAGGGACAATCCTGTGCTTGTACTAGTCTGTCCCCTTGAGGAAAACTCTTCCAAGCCACTGAACTTTGCTGGGGTTCTCTCCATGTGCAGTCACCCTCTCATCCACGACAGTCAGCATCCATCAGTGCCTGCGTAAAATGCCTGCGCTTACAAAGTGCTGCACAGCTGGGGGAGGAAGTGGAAAAACCTCATGGGCAGTGCTCATTGGTGATTTGGAGAGCAGGGGGAGTTCTTGTCAGCCTTAAGGGAAGGATCTGTGTTTTAGCCTGTTGGAGAGTTGCTGCCACCCTCTCATGGGGAAGGTATCCTTGTGGCTAGCACATTTTAGCTCAAAAGCTGGGGAGGAGCTGGTACCCCTGCTCCTCCAGCAGAGTCTGTCTTCCTTCAAAACCCCAGCATCATGGGGCTGAGGGCACAACAAACCTGTGGGACTGCTTAGCAAAGTAAACTCGCTTGCATCTCCTCCAAACGCCAGGGCTCAGAGGTGCTCAACTTTCCCCTTGAGGACTGTTGTAAAGTGATGTTAAATGCAGCCTGAAGATCAGGAACATGATTCTGTGTGCACAGCCTGGAAAAGCAAGGAAGAATAGAGAGCTGTACAAGGGGATGTGCAGCTCAGACAGATGAGAAGGAGCAAAAGAAGCTCTCTCACATTTTTGACTCCCCTTCCTGAGATGAGGAAAACAGGATTCTGCCAGGAATCCATCCTGGCTTAATCCTGCTTCAGCTGTGCTGTACCTCAAGATGCCCTTGCACAACAGGTACAAGGCTCTGCAAGTGGAGCCAAGCAATAGTGAGGGATGATGGTTCTTCTAGTTTGGAGGTGTCAGTGAGGTTAAATCAGCCTCCACCCTGCATCAAAACTGCTTCTCTGGGAAAGGCTTGGTCATCCTCATAGGACACTCCCTTCTGAGGGAGCAGAATCACAGAAGACCCCATATGCAGGCTGAACACACTTCTTAGGGAATTCTGCTGCCTTCCTCGGGCCTGGGTTAAAGATGTGGAAAAAAGCTTCCCACCCTGATATGGTCCTTGGTTTTTTTTCTGTTATTGATTTTTCAGGTAGGCAACGATCAAGTTACAAACCCAAGGGCAGTCAAGAGAGCCTTTGGGGCCTTGGGACAACTGGTTAAGGGAGCAGGAGCACAAGTAGTGTTCTTATCTGTCCTTCCAGTTGCAGGGAATGATGAGGGAAGAAATGGGAAAAGCCAGCAGATAATACAAGGCTGCTGTCACTGGCAGGATGTTTGGATTTTGATCATGGATCAATTTACATAACATCAGGCCTGCTGGTGATAGACACAGAACCCCTGATACAAAAAGGGGAAAGGATCTTTCCACAGGAGTTAATCAGACTTGTGAAAGAGGTTTAAACTACCTTAATGATGGTGACAATAGGGTTGGGTGTTTATGGGTCAGAATCGAGGGGAAGGCCAAAAGCCAAATAACAGCCAAATAACTGCTGCTTGTGCCTTAGGTGGGTGTTCACTTTGCTGGGTAAAAAACTTGCTGGATGAACAACCCCAAAGCATGCTGGTGAATGGAATTGCATCCAGCTGGGGCCCACTCATCAGTGGTGTTCCACAGGGCTCACTACTGGATCCAGTTTTTAAAATCTTCACCAGTACTCTGGACAAGGGGATTGAGAGCTCCCTCAGTCAGATTGCAGACAACACTAAGCTGGGCAGGAGTGTTGATCTGCTTGAGGGAAGAAAGCACTAGAGTGGAATCTGAGCAGGCTGGAGAAAAGGAGGCTCAGGAGACATCTTGTTGCCTTCTACAAGCACCTGAAAGGAGGTCATAGTGAGATGGGGATTGACCTCCCAAGTGACAAGAGGAAATGGCCTCAAGCGTGTCAGGGAAGGCGTTAATATGAAATTAGGAAACATTTCTTCACCAAAAGGATTCTGAAGCACTGGAACGGGCTGCCCAGGGAAGTGGTTGACGTACCATCCCTGGAGGTATTTAAGAGGCATGTAGATGTTGCACTTGGGGACATGTTTTAGTGGTGGACTTGGCAGTGCTACATTAACAGTTGGATTTGATGATCTTGGATGTCTTTTCCAACCTAATTGATTCTGTGATCTCAGCTATGAGATGAAACTTGCCAATGCAGCCAATGTCTGAGGTGAAGGTGAATGCCCAGAAAAGGCAGATTTATTGCATGACCCCTGGGGTTTCTGTTTAATGCTTCAGGTTGCCTTCCAGTAGGAAAGTGTCAGATGATAAGCCCTTTGAGGGGAGGCATTAAGCCTCTCAGGCTTACTTGTGCTGTGGCTCCAGCCCAGGTCAGCAGTGTGACAAGTCATCAGCACTGGGCTGAGATTTGGCAGTGGTCTGACAGCTTTGGGCTTTGGTTTAGAGCTGTCAGTGCCAGGTCAGAAAAATCAATACAGTATTAAGCAGTGTCTTCATCAGCCTCTGACTTTTACACCTCTTCCCTTAGCCTTCTGCAGGGCAGTATTGAGGTGGGTGGGATGTGTGTGCACACAAACTTGCAGTGCCTCAGGCAGCTGGGTGGATACAGAGGGCTGGAGGCAGCCTGGGTAATGTCAGGCTGGCCTCTTCTCTAGAAGAAAACCTGCTGGAAAAAAATCCCAGCAGGTAATTTCATGATTTCTCCTCTTCTTCTTCTGTAAATATTCAAAACAAGCATTTAAAAGGGAGCAGCTGCCGTGGATGAATTCTGAGTTGTCATTGTCCTTTCAGGAGGACAGTCTAGTCAGCACTCCAATATCCTTCCCCTCTCTCCAGCCCCCTGCCACCTCTGTGTGCTGCATCCTCATGCTGCCAGGGCTCCATAAAGAGCTTACAGACAGGGATGCAGCAAACATATGCTGTGCCTGTAATCCCAAATGAGCTACTCAGGTGCTTAAGGACAGAAGCTGTTCCCAGTAGGAGCAGTTGGACTGATGCAGGGTGCTCATGGAGAGGCATTGCATTGCCATCACAAATTGGGCCTCCAGGAGAGAGGAGTGGGCAGCAGGGTCAGAAGAGGTTGCCAGAGGTTACATCTTCAGACATCAATGCAGCAGCATGGCTTCCTCACAGTCCTTGTGCTCAGTTCACACAAGTGCCATCAAATGCAGGCAGGTCACACTGAGGACCAACAGGTAGCCAGGAGCTGTGGATGGAGCTGTGAGGGTCTGTGTTCTTGTCAGAGAGATGAAGGAGCTGGCAAATTCTCCTCATTGCAGGACACAAGGAAGTAGTGGCACTTGGGAGGATGCAGCTGGCTGATGAATTTCCCACCTGCTTTGTAACTGCAGTGTTTGCAGGCAGGTTAGCAGCCACAGAACATATCAAAGAGGTGGCAGCTTGGGGCCTGGGGGTGTTTTGGCATTTTTGTTCTGTTAAATTCAAAAGACATGAGATGTTGTGATGTCCCTGTGTATCAGATGCCTGTACTCTCAGGTTGTCCCAGGTCATCAAGTTTCTTCCTAGGCTCAGTTCTGGGCCAGCAGGGATGTGGTGTCTCCTCACCCTCATGGGATAGGGGTTATGATGAGGGGTTATGTGTTTGAGAGCTGCAGTGAG